CTGCTATTTGTGAAATGGGATTTTAATGTCCTTAACAGCTTCAAGTGTTACCGTGAACAATGCTACTGTTTATATTTTTTCCTTCCAAAGTCATGTTCTTTTCCTGACACTAGGCTACATTCATTTAAATATAAAACGTTGGCATTTTGGAGATTCTCCAACTACATTTTGGAGATTCATGAATTATCAAAGACTTGTCAACTAAGTCAAATATTTTAGCTGACTCTTTGATTATTATGATTTGAAAATACAGATTAGATGATGAATGAAGAAAAAGTAAGCTGCTTTAAAAAAATACCAGAATATCAGAAATATTATCCTGATGGTGTCTTAATTTATGTCTATTACATTCCGCCAGAGTTAGGTACATTATGCTACACCATGGAAAATGACCACCTCAAAACATTACGATTTGAAACACACAAAAACAAGATCTTTGATCTTAAAACTCTTTTAAATAATTGTATTTTTTTTTACCTGCCTTTTCCACATTGAAGGGCTAGATCTTATTCCACTTTAAGGAATGTTACTTTGGGATAGTGACCAGCGGTAAAGATTTTATTGTTGTTCAAAGCATTTTGTTCTGTTTTGCTTTCATCAAAACCCAAGCCAGTGTTTCAGAATGTCCTCTAGCCTCTGTATTGGAGAAACTCCCCAAAATACGGCTCAGTTAGAGGAGGCTGATAAGTTTTACTCCATTCAGAAAGAGGCAACAGAATCATTCAGTGATCCTGTCATTGTCTGAGGAGGCCATCTGTGAATCAGAAATTCTTTTTCTCCACACATTTTAAATTCTCCATCAAGTAAGGGAAGTAGATGATAAAATCTGATACTATTGGAGCATTTACCAAAATCACTTTAATACAAACATTAGAATTCATCTCTTCTCCTTAGTCTACCTGGGTGCACTGTTTACACTTCTATTGCACTGTTTACTATATCATAAATGTTATATCTGCCTTTTTTACTGGACTATGCATTCTTTGAATTCAGTGATCATTGGTCCATTGAATTCAGTGATCATTGATCCATCTTTGTATCCTTACCTCATTGCTTACCCTAAAATTGACACATCTTAATAATTCCTAGTGACTGTCTACGGTCTTTTATGCAATATAATGGGTATTTAAAAATCAGTAAACTCAGTTTTAAAGAATCGCATTTTGGTAAAGCTTTACAAAGGAAGAACATGAAGCTTAGAGAAGCAAATTGACTTGAATAATTTAATATAGTCAGTAAACAGTGCAGTCTAGACTCAAACCCAAGGATGACTCAGAAACCAGTGATCTCCTCCCAACATGTGCTAGGTAGTGTGTCAGATGTTTTATAGATATTATTTTTTCACTTCACCTTCAATCTTGAAAGTTAGATATTATTTTTGCCATTTTCCAGAAAAGGGAGCTGAGATTTAGAGGGATATACAGGGAAATGCTCTGTAAATGTTTGCAGACTGAATGAATTCAATATTTACTGAATGCCTTGGGAGGTTGTCAGAGGCAATGGGAAGGAAACACATGTGGGTTAAATCACACATGTTAGTAGCTGCACCTCTCACCAACAGTCCATGACAAGTAATACTACATAAATCACTATACAGTAAATTTCTTTAAAATGTGCTCACTTGGTTAATTTCCAAGGTGCAAGCATACCATGCATTTATCAACACTATTTCTGTAATTATCAAAGACGCCTTTGTTTATGAAGCTTTTCCTAGGTTATTTATTATTATTAAAGGATTCTTCATTTATTTTCATGCATAAAGATGCATGAAATGTGTCATGATAAAGTCATGATGGGCTCCACTATGCTGTGGTGTCAACTCCAAATAATCTAGGCAGATAGAGGATTTTACAAGAGTAAAAAGCTTTATTCAACAACCAGAAGATCAAAATGACCAGAGTCATGTGCTGTCAGTATTCCAGGTTGTTTAATCTTCTGGATGCTGAATAAGCTCCAGAGAGTGAGTCTCACACTGGAAATTCAATGTTTTTCCTCAGAAAAAACCACACATCATTTTTGCTAACATTTCGTTGGCCAAATCTAGTCGCATGACCGCATCTACCCTCAAAAGTTAGGGAACACAATATCCCCAAGGAGGAGATTGGAAATTTGGTAAACTGTAATAATGTCTACTGTGGGGCAAAAGAAAATGTATTTTCTGAAGATACCCATGTCTAATAGGTGCTTTTGTTTTTGAGATAGAGTCTTGCAATGTAGCACTCACTGGCTTTGAACCCTTGGTCCTCCTGCCTCAGCTTCCTGACTGTTGGGATTACAGGTGTATGCCACCATGCTTGGCTTCTAGTAGGTGCTTAACAAAAGCTTTGCTTGAGTTAAAGATCAAGGATGCTACTAAATCCAAGGTATGGGCAATATAAAAGAGAAAGATTTGTGTTAAGTTAGGTTGAGTTCTCTTACATTCTTAAAAGAAGACCAAAAAGTTTCTACTTCTACTCTACATCTTAATAGGGAAGATGAGAAAGTAATCAATTTTATTGAGTAGGTCCTTCAGCACTATGAAAAAGAATTACAGAAAGAGCTATCATAGCCGTGGCAATAGCAGTATGTGCCTTGTACTAGATGTCCCAAGTATAAGTAGCATTTAGAAAAAATGTTATCTCTTGGAATGAAGTAGGTCAGATAGAAAGACCTCATATTTGTGTGCTGAATGGTGATCAGCAAAGCATTTGAGCAGTGCTCTAATTCCATTCTCATAATGACCTTTTGAAGTCGGCAGGACAATTGTCCTCTTCCTTATTTTAGGGAAGTGACTGACGTACAAAGAGTTCAAAGCTATCTTTACATGTACAGCTATTCAATAGCTGCATTGAAAAGTGAAGGCAAACTTAGTGATCCTCAGCCTAGTTTTCTGTACAATTCCACCTACCCATGTAACTAGGGTAACCTGAACCCATTTGCTGAGAGAACTGCCAGGGAAGCCAACACTGCTCCAATAAGCATAAACACGAGTTTTTGTTGTGATGGCTTCAATTTACTTGTGTTGCACACAAACAGTAGACCAAGTCAGAAACCTACTATGCAAGACAAGTTGAAATCAATTCAAGTGATGTTTTACAAATATGACTCAATTCTACTACTAAATCAGAGATAAATAAAATGTAACAAGCTTACTGACTCAGGATTCATGCTGACTTTCAGCTCTTGTGAAGTGAGTAGGAGTTTCAAAGCTGACGTTGACTTTTCCTCTTGAACCACACACATGCTTTACTAATGCAGGTGGAGAAAGCAGCCACAAACTTGGTCTCGCTCTCATGTCAGCTTACATAGTCACCCTCTGTGACCAAATCCCTCAAGTGCGGGGAAACCTCAGAGGGATTCAAATGAAACCAGTGATTTTAAGATGAGTAGACACTGAAGTGGTCTGATATAAATCAGGGGAAGTGTCTTTGGATTAACTAGCTTGAGAAGCAATGCTGACAAAAATAAATAAGCCCTCCAGCCACTTTTTGTCAATTTGGTTGTCATTCATTTGGAAAGCTGGAGGACTCATCCTTTTGTACTGTTTCAACATCATGACAAACTCTATTTACTAAATGGGAAAAAAACATAATTAATTCCTAAGTGCTACTTTTCATCTTTATGGCACTTTATCCCAGCTTCTAGCAGAATTGCCTATGCAAAAGAGGTGCCTTATTTGGCAATAGTTTTGTTTACGAATCTTCAGTTCTCTCCTTTGGGAAACGGTAATGATGATTATACTTTGTCAAAATATTACAAGTGAAAGACAAACTAGGTAACACAAGCAAATAATGGGGGGGGTGTAAGTGCAATAAGAAATCCAATTTAGTGACAGTGTTTTGATTAAGCAATACCTAGTATTGGTGTAGGATCAGACTGATTATCCAATTTCATCTGATTTAGAAGGTAGTTGCCATGATAGCTTATATTGTTCAGTATTTAGGTTAAAAAAAAAAGGAGAAGGGGGAAGAACTTGTTCATATCCAATTAAAGTTAAAATTCTGTCAGATAAAATACTATTTAAAATGTTCAAAGTGGGGCATGTGTGCGCACTGAAGTTTCCGGCTACTGGAGAGGAAGGCAGGACTGTGAGTTGGGTTAACCAAGGTGAAAGTTAGCGAGACTCTGTCTTAAAAATCACAGAAATAATAAAAGGGTCTGGGCATACCTCAAGTAGCCCTGTACCACCAAAAACTAGTAGCTTTTAAAAATGGAAAATATAACAGCTTATAGTCAGATATGGAGGTACTTCACTCAATGTAAGGAATTTTTCCTTTAAAGAAAAATGTATAGAGAACAAGAAGGAACTAGCCTTTGAAAATGTCCAAGATAATAAGTACTTTATAGAATTACTGACCTAATTTTCACAACAACCCCAAAAGGTGGACATTGGTGTCTGTGCATTAGACCTAAAATCAAGGTTCCACAGACATCAATCATTTGCCCCAAATCACACATACTGTAAGCCACAGATCCTACTGAATTCCTACTCATTCTGACTCTAAAGTCCACACTCTTTCCCTTATACCATGCAACCATGATAGTCCTATGGTGTTTCGTAAACAGATCTATGGTTATTTAAATAAAAAAGCTTACATTTCTTTTATTACAAACCATATACTATTAAGCCAGAACATAATTAATTAATGGAAGAAAACATTTTACAAACCACTTTCTGAATATGAGTACCATGGAATTGTCTCTCTTTGGTTCTCCACTATCTGAGCCATCCTAAAAGAGATGCTGTTTTCCAGTGTACCATTTCTCAATATAGCAAACATCATTTTTTACATGTTTTGGCAGAATTGTGATGGAATCATAATAATAAAAAAGTTCTAAATGAATTTATAGTATATATTGAAAACTTTTAAAGTTGTAATAGGAAAGTCTTTCAGAAAACCAGTGTTTATGCTTATCTTCTATTTGAAGAACAAATCTAGAGCTTTAAAAATTCACTTTTTAATACCTTTGTCCTAAGTAAGGGTGTGATCATTGGGAACTGCAGTTCCTGATTTTACCTGAAGATGCATTCATCCCAAAGCTGTATGTGATTTGTATGAGGATTCGCTTCAAATTCGCAAGCACTGTCATAAAATCTTTCTACTGATTGGAAAATTTGTGCCATGTATGGTAAATGATTCTTCTTTGAGTGATAATACATTAATGTGTCCATCAGATGGCTGCAAATGCACCTCCTCTTGGGCTTGCTGATTCTCAAGTCATTTCCCTAAAGGAAAAGAAAGAGTATGTAAGGGAAAAATTGAAAGAAGGACACTAAAAGGTAAAAAGTATCCGTATTTGGATTCTCCACCCATGTGGATTATCCTCTGTGGGTTTTTAATTTCTGGTTGGCTTTCCCTGTCCTTCAGCTTATTTTGGATATAGAAGGAAAGGGAAGGCAATGTAAGTATCAGCCTTCACCAGGTCCACTACAAAGTACAAGCTTCTCAGCTTTGCATGAGATTATACATCCCCACCCCTTCGCCCCACTCCCACCCTCCTTAGCTGAAATAACAACAGTCTGGGAACTCATACACATACATACATGTGGTTGTGACCACTTGGTTTTACATAATTTTTGTGTATACTTTACAAAAATTATATATTTCAAATGTTTTATGACAGAAGTAGGTTGTAGAAGACAATAGGGAAAGAAATTTATGTTAAACTATTATTTTAAAGGTCTTCTCTATGAGAAGAAAAACAAACAAGAAAAAGATCTTCATGGTGATGTCCACAGCAAGAAAATGACATCACAATAATGATACAGACTGACTTGTGACACTTACGTCCTTCTCAGTTTATTTGTATGAATGCTATACAACTTCTCAAACTTTCACATTTAGAGAACCTCTTCTGTCTGAAAGGAATTCCAAGATATGCATGTAAATGTTCATTTTGAGGAAAGAATTTTGTCAGTTTTGACACTGATTCATGTGCATGAAAGGTTCAAGACAAAGAAGAGAGCCTGTTGCAAAATGCACATCAGCCCATTTGGGACTGTGATCGTGCTTGTATGTGTGTGCCTGTGAGTAAACATGACTATTGAGGGGGGTAGTGTACATCAGTGGAAAGGAAGGAAGTAAGAAAGGGAGAGAAAAGACCCAAAGATAACTTTATGCTTCCAGCATTTTTGAATTGTTTATGGCCTTGCATATCCTGAAAGCAATTTCTCCTACATCTTTCTTACTCAAATCAGAATTTTGAAGTCAAGATTTAATGACAGTGCAATGAGTAAGTTTCGCTTTCCATTTACTTCTGCTTAATATAAACGAGTAGACCACAAAAACTATGTGGAACCAAGCAGAAAAGAAAAAAATACAACTACATAAATCAGCCTTCACCTAAACACTTTCATCCTACTTATAATCCCAGAAACATGATCAAGTGTCTTAAATTTAAAATTGAAGTCTGGTCTACAGGTCTATTTTCTCATTGAAACCCAATGAACATATTTAGTTTTTTGCACAAGTCTCAGAGTGAAACATGGGAGTGGCATAAGAGATTCCTAAAGTGTTTTTCTTTAGTAGTTTGTAAATCAGTATCAAAACAACAAAATAAAAAATAGAATGGGTAACCCCAAATAAGAAAAGAGTGTAAGAAGGTTAAGAAGTGATGTGCTCAGTACTTCTAAGATGATCATCAGCTGCAGGATGTTTTCTGTATCTTCCTCCTCTTCTTCGAGGTCATAGGAGATGGTAAATGTCAATTGTCCTCCTACTGTTGGCAGCTATAAGACAGGAGGTGCATAATTGTTACAGACCAGAAGCTGGGCTATTAAATCATATTTTACTTATTATTTTAAAATCATTTTATAGTTCTAGAGAGCAGGATTAGGAAGAAGCAGAGATCACTGGGTACAGAGTGAGAACCATAGACATTTCTTTAGGACTAACCTTTATATGACCCTTACCCATTGACTGCAAGCCTGACATTAGTTTAAATTCATGTATTATTTCCCCAGTATTTCAGGTTTGCTGAAATAGGCTAAGTTCCATGAAACCAAAGGCAGCCCCTCTTGTCATCTTCGTGGTCTGTAGTTTCAGTTTTACAATTTTCAGAGAAGGATCCTTGTCAAATTGGGAGATTTCTATCCCTAAGGTCACCTGTTTTCTGTGTGCCTGACTGCATTCAACAAAGACATTCCTCCATTTGAAAAATGGTTTGGGTAGACCATAAACTAATCTGGAAAGCACTGTTGGTCAAAGAAAAGTAAATGGTTGGCAGCAAAATTTGTATTAAAATATAATCAAATCTGTCTCGGAAGGTAGACTTTCCCCTTGTGTAATCAAGTCAGCTCGGTTCGAATGAATGTTATTATCCCCTTTTTGTTAAGCAAACTTCTTTCCCTCTCACATGCGTGCTAAGCCCCATACGATATATATTTGAGGTTTACGTTTTCTGACATTGACAGTGACCTTGTAGAAAAAAAAGTGGGAATGCAAGATCATTTTTAGGGCAAGAATCAAAATTGGAGCAGTGAGTGACAGATCCAATGCAAATACTGCAGTCCTTTTTAAAAAAAAATTCCACCCTAGCATTGTAAATAAGACATTCATAAAACAAAGCTGATGATTTGTATTCTGCTGTTTGCTCCGGGCTGACATGAAGAGACCCAGCTTCACGGCCGCCGGCTCTCTGTGGCCTTTCATGGCAGGCCCTGACCAGAAAGCAATTCCTGGCACTACACTGGATGGAGGAGGAGGAACCCTAATTCCTCTCAGACTTGCTCCATGGGACTGCACAATAGCTGGCTATGGCTGATTAAACAGGATTTTAAATTGCAGCTCTGCAGTGTTGTCTAAGAGCTCATTACATGGTGCTCTAGAAGGATCTGAAATTCAGAAAACTTTTATTCCCCTGCTCCACTGAGAAATGGCCCTATTCTAATGTCTGTTTATATCTAAAACAAAAAATATCTGCCTAGACTATAGCAATTGGCATTGTTGTGAGTAATGAGGGTGAATCTATATAAAAGTTTTGAGTTCTATTAAGGCAAGCATCCAAAATTTCAAACAGCACACTTGCTTAAATCAGGTGGACATTTTCTCATGAGAAGGATCTAAGAAGGCAGCAGGAAAAAAAGTTTTTAGATATTTCAAAGAGGAATGACCTATTTTGAATTTTCTAATTTGATAAAAATGTTCAGTAGGAGCTAGACCTCAAATTTGGGAAGAAAATTAGGGTATGGGTCTATAAAATAACATACCTTTTGAGTTTCCACATGTATTTCAGTTATTTAAAATATGTATTACACATTGGTTTTCATGAATATGCTTATCTAAAATCAGAAATATGTCAACTTACAGCTTTATGGTATTACCATATATATCCAATTATAACAAATTTTGAAAATTAGCTAGCATTCGTTGCCCTCAACACAGAGAAACTAAAGCAGATACCTTAAAAGCAACTGAGGCCAATAGGAAGGGGACCAGGAACAAGAGAAAAGGTTAGATCAAAAAGAATTAACCTAGAAGGTAACACACAAGCCTTGTATGCACATATGAATAACAAAAGAAAATGAAAAAAAAAAAGTGAAGAAATTTTTTACAAAAATATGATTAAGAATCTTAAGAGGTGATATTGATCTTGGATTAACTAACTGGTTTCTACCTATAATCAACATATCCTTATATAAGAGAGGTAGATGGATTTTCACTAAAAAGCATATAGTCCATGTCAGTGTGACAATGAAAGAAAAGACTGGAATGATGTGGCTATAAGCCAAGGAATGCTTGTAGACTAGAAACAACTAAGGACACACTCTTTTCTTGAACCTCTGAATGAAGTACAGCCTTTTGAACACCTTGATTTCAAACTTTAGATTCCAGAATCTGAGAGATAATTTGTTTTCTAATGTACTAAATTTATGTTAATTTGTTAGTGTGACCACAATAAATTTATGTAATATGATAAAAAAAAAAATTAACCTAGAAGGTAACACACATGCACAGGAAATCAATGTGAGTCAACTCCCTGTATAGCTATCCTTATCTCAACTAGCAAAAACCCTTGTTCCTTTCTATTATTGCTTATACTCTCTCTACAACAAAATTAGAAATAAGGGCAAAATAGTTTCTGCTGGGTATTGGGGGGGAGAGGGAGGGGCGGGTGGTAAGGAGGGGTGGGGCAGGGGGAGAAATGACCCAAGCATTGTAAGCACAGATGAATAAAAAAAATAAAAATTAAAAAAAAAGTCAAATCACTATCTTTCCTCTACATAGAGACATAAATAGCACACATTACAGACAGTAACAATTTTATAGACTTTATTCAGCCAAGTCACTAAAGAAACAAATTAAAAGCACAAACACATGCAGTAGCAACAACCAATCCTGAGGCACACAAAGACTTTGTTACAATGTATGGATAGCAACACAAACACAAGACACACTCAGAACTATATAAAATAGCGCCCTTTACAGAATTATGTAATAAAGCTTGTTTTAGACTGATGTCTGACAGTTTTATATTGCTATCCTTAATGGGGACTGGTTACAAAAATGGTCTAAGTCTGACACCTGAGAACTGGATTTGAGTATTCCCATGATTACCAGAATTGAAGGAATAGCACATACTATCACAAGTGCCTGGTAACCACATCATTTGTGATGAATATATTTTCTGGAAAAGTGACATTGGTTTGTACTAGACAGATGGCAATAACATGTCCACTGAAATCCCTAGTACCTGACACTCCATTGACGTTCACATGCTCTCACGTTCCAGCTAAAGAAATTAAGCATGTCTATGTGATTCAACTGGAGGAGAGTTCTGTAACGTTTGTGCTAGTCTTTTCTGGATATAGCACCATATGGAGTTTGACTTTGCTGATTTTTCTTTTGCATCTTTTTAGTATAAGAATTCAAAGATGTGAGTGACTCTCAGCTGAGTTCATTGAATCTTCCAAGAGATCACCAAGCCTGGGACTGGTCTTGGGCATACCAGGATGGCCAAATACTCAGGAGAAAGAGAAATTGATGAGAGCTATTATTGGGAGACCTAGACTTTGAACTTAGAATGTAAAGACCTAAAATTAGGTAACTAACTATATGTGCTTACACAACCTGACTTCACTATCCATGGTTTTCACATGCATGGATTTAAGCAACCAGAGAACAATAATTGAGGAAAAGTCCGTAGTGAATATGAACAAATGTTTTCCTTGTCATTGTCCCCTAATAAATACAATATCGAGGTTTTCTATAGCATTTGCTTTATCTTAGGTATTAAGTATTCTAGATATGATTTTTAAATACATGGGAAGATGTGTTTAGGTTATATACAAAAAAAAGAAATTTTGAATTAAAAAAAATTTTTGTTTTGCCACAAAAGAGTGTAACTTGAACATTTGTGATTTTTAAGGCTATAGATGAAGTAGAAAAACATTCACCTACACTGTTTGATCTTTAAGGTAGTTTCTATACCTGTTTTTAATATTTATAATGTTACATAGTACATAATATGAGAGAAGAATGAAAAGATAGGAAAAGGAACAAATAAATATATAGAAAAAAGAAGGACCATAATCAGATCAGTGATCACATAAAACATGAACTGTGGGATAGAACTAATTTACTCTGTTCTGCTGAAGGCTAATAGTAGTGATAATAATGGAGAAAAATAATGTTTTCACTTTTACTCTACAGGCAGATTTTTTTCAAAGTCTTTCATGCATCTTTGATACCCATACTTTGGCATCATTACAACAATTTCTGGATCACCTAAAATTTTTTATGTATGAATTCATTTTACTTCCTCCCAAGCTGGGTGAAAAAAATGTCATGTTAAACATAAGCATGATGCTGCTACCAGATGTTTTCCCCCAAGTCACAAGTACCCATTTGTACAATATTAGAATTCTTGCCTTTTTCAGTTACCCTAAAGGTGTGTATTTATTACAACATCTATAGCTACTCAGCCAAATACTTGTTTCAGTAATTTTTGAGAAGGATTGCTTAAGATACCATCCTGCATTTTAGAGGTCGCACCCCTAGGAATAACAAGCCCTATTTTGTTGTTTTTCCTTAAACTCCATAGTCTGTTCATAAACCATGATAGCAAGTATTTCTGAATGCTTCCAGCTAATGTGCCTTCCTCAAAGAGGATGTACCACTGTACAGACTTTATAATGTGTCAGTAGTAGGACAACACTACCTTCTTTTTGAGCCATTTTGATTTGACTCATATGGTAACACTTTTTATATTTTCAGGAACCTCCATACCATTCTCCCTAATGCTATACTAATTTGCTTTTCTAGTAACAGTGTATCGGAACTTCCCTGTCTGTGTCCATGTTAGCATTTGTTAATTTTTTATCTTTTTTATAATAACCATTCTAATTGGGGTAAGGCGATATCTCCTATGGTTTGATTTTCTTTTCTCCTACAGACTCCTATAAACCCTTCAGATCAACAAAGTAAATAAAATCAAATGTGTACAGGATGCCAATCAACCTCTATTATGTATATCTCCTCTGTTACCTATGGTTATTAGTTTAATCATCTAACTTTGAGACTGGGTATTTCACTCATTGTGTTTATTTCTAGGTGTCCATTCTTTCTGAGTATTTTATCTCCTACATCCAGTTGTCCACACTTATGACTCCACTGGATATGTTTCTTGAAATGTCATTTGTAAATTCTATGCAGCAATCGCTAATGACCCCTTTTATACTTTTTATTTTTAATTTACATGTAATACTTGTACATATATGGGGTATCATGT